CACGACGAGGTGCGGTGGGTGGACTTCCTGGAAACTCACTTCCACTATGACATCGTCTACAATCTCGGGCTACACAACAAGGCAGACGCGTTGAGCCGCCCTGGACATGTAGCAGGCATCCGGCTCGATGGAATGAACCCTCTGCTCAAGGGTCTATTCAAGCATGGGTACTCCATGGACGCAGAGATCGCTATAGCACAGACTAAGAAGCTGTTACAGTAGGAGAAAGACTTAGCGGTAAGGAAGGGTTCAGGAACGATTTGGGTACCGAATCACGCCCCGCTACGGCAGATCCTATTGGAAGAGTTTCACGACGTGGGACATTTTGGGAGCAACAAGACGTTAGCAGGGATAGGGAAGTATTACTACTGGCCCGGGATGGCAGCAGACGTGCAGCAGTTTGTCACCTCTTGCGACATGTGCCAGCGGATAAAGAGTAGCAAGCAGAAAAAATCAGGGTTGCTTCAGCCTCTACCCGTACCGGAGCAGCCATGGCAGGTCGTTAGCCTCGACTTCATCATCGGACTTCCTTCGACCTCACAAAAGCATGATTCCATCCTCGTTGTGATCGATAAGTTGTCCAAAGTGGGTCAATTCATCCCGACCAATGCCAAAGCTACAGCTGAAGCAACTGCTCGCCTCTTCTTTGACCGCATCATCACCATCTACGGCATCCCCGCTACACTCATCTCAGACAGAGACCCCAAAGTCACCAGTAAATTCTGGAAGGAGCTCACGGGATTATTGGGGACTAAACTTGCGATGTCCTCAGCATACCACCCACAGACTGACGGACAGACAGAGCGACTCAATCAAGTGGTTGAGCAGTTACTGCGCACAGCTTGCAAGGACGACATCAGCCACTAGGACACACAGTTACCGACCCTAGAGTTCGCTTACAACAACGCGTCACATGCGGCCACAGAGAAAACTCCTTTCTTCCTGTGTTACGGACTAGAACCACTCACACCACAGCAGCCAACCACACCGCCACACGTCCAAGCTGCACATGACTTCGTCACAACCATGCAGCAGCCATGGGAGAAGTCTCTGAGTCGACTCACCACGATGCAGACCTCCCAGAAGTAGTATGCCGATCGTCAGCGACGAGATCACTCAGTAGCAGTCGGAGATCAGGTGCTTCTCGACACACGCAACTTGAAACGGTCTCACCTTCCATCCAAACCCCGACCTCGCTTCTGTGGTCCTTTTCTCGTTGAGGCACAAGTGACACGGGTTACATTCCGCTTGCGCTTACCAGATACGTGGAAGCTTCACAACGCTTTCCATGTCCAGCTACTGAAACCCTACAAGGACCCCAACCAACAGTCCCAGGGATGACAGCTACCACCACCATCACATGTTCTCATACAGGATGAACCAGAGTACGAAATGGAGCGCGTTCTCACTCATCCGCGCCGCGGCGGCAAGACCCTCGAGTTCCTGATACGCTGGAAGGGATATAACCCGAGTGGGGACAGTTGGGTTGCAGAAGCTGATATGGGCAACGCACGCCATGCTCTCAAAGACTATCTTGTCAAGCAGGGTGTATCTCACGCCACCCAGCTTTGAGGGGGGAACGTGTGAGAGTACGACGGCTTATGCCAGCTATGCTTGCTTGCCTATACTCTATTATGCTATTTCTAGCATAGGTTTATTTTATGCATGCATGAATTGCTTGATTTACTAGGCTAGGTGCTTTCCTATATTTTATTATAGTATAGCACCAAGCCAGGTTGCGTGCACCGAATTCTGGGCTTTTCGGTTGCCACAGAATTGCCTTCTACCGAATTCGGGAAGGGTTTGTTCGGGACGCTTCGCGACCCTTCGAACCTTCGCGTAACACCTGGTTACTGGGCCTTGTGTCGAGCCTATATATAGCCTCGTCTTGTACCCAAGTGATTCATTCAATTCACATTCTCTTTTCTGAGCTCGATCCTAGATCCTCACATTGCCACTGCTGACACTGAGGGACTCGCCCACGTGAAGTCAGAGCTGCAAAAGAAACACACGTGCACAGATTTGGGTGAGTTGCACAACTATCTTGGCTTGCAAATTACCCGGAACAGAGCACATCGCACCATTACCCTGATTCAGTCACACATGGTGCAGCAGGTCCTTCAGCGATTCGACTTCCAGTACTCCTCGCCACAGTCCACTCCTCTGCCTACCGGTCACTCGCTCTCAGCTCTGCCTTCGGATGAGTCCGTAGAGCCAAGTGGCCCGTATCCAGAGCTTGTGGGTTGCCTCATGTACCTGATGACCTACACTCAACCTGACCTTGCTTACCCTCTTAGCATCCTGGCACGCTACGTTGCGCCCGGGAGACAACGATCAGAGCACTGGAAGGCCGCTAAAAGGGCGATGCGCTACTTGTGCAATACGTCGAGCATGGGGCTCATGCTTGGAGGATGGGCTCGAGTTGTCCTCACTGGTCACGAAGACGATTCTTGGGTTGACGACTTGGCTACGCAGCGGTCGTCACAGGGTTACACCTTTAGCCTTGGCTCTGGCTCTGCTTCGTGGCGGTTTACCCGCTCGTCTTCTGTTCTCAGCTCCAATTGTGAGGCTGAGATTTACGCAGGGGCCATGGCTGCACAGAAGTTACGCTGGCTCACCTACCTGTTGACCGACTTGGGAGAGCCGTCTCGTTCTCCTCCAGTTTTGTACGTCGACAACAAGGCCATGATTTCCTTGTGTCAGGAGCACATACTGGATCACAGAACGAAGCACATGGCTCTGCGTTACTTCCTTGCTTGAGAATTGCAGCATCGTGGTCAGCTTCGTCTTGTTTACGTGGCCTCTCAGGCCAACACTGCTGATATCTTCACCAAGGCACTTCAGCCTTGTGATCATCAGGGTTTCTGTATTGTTCTTGACCTTGTGCCTACCTGGTCTCACTTGCTTATTTCTTGACTTTGCTTGTACTGTGATCTATATACTTATATATTTGCATGCTTACACTGGCTAGGCTGTGATCACTATCCTGCTTGTTCTCCTTTATATACAACTCTGCATGTGAACTGGCCTTGTGGCTACTTGCTTATGCTCAGAATGCGTGGTGACTTCGTGATCCACCATGAGCTTGCTTTGTCTTTCTTGACTGGTCTTGTGACCTCTTGTTCTCCCCCACTTTGCCTATGGGGGTGTGTCAAACTTATATGCTGGTTATTGTGTAGGCTATAATGGGGTAGCCCATATGGGGTACAACCCAATTAGGGTTCCCTACTTGTACCCATCATGCTGCTAGTTCACATATTCCTGTTCGTTATTCTGACACGACTCGACGTAATTTGCGTCGAAGAAAATGTCCATCGTGAAGACCCATGATTGAACCGTAAGACATCCACGTTGGCTCGGATCAAAATAGGGCGGGCGCTGCGGCTTGAGTGGCATTGGTGCCATGATGTCGTGGCTGCCACTTGTTGCTGCAAACTCTACGTGCCGACGAGCTTCGCGAGGCTCACGCGGGCTTGGTGCGGCCCTATTTCTCTCCATACCATGCATCGATTGAGCGGCGCCATCACTGGCTGCGCCTGAGCGCTCTCCCACGCTGTCGTGTTGCATCGGTATGCCTGATGAGATGGCGATCGGTTCTTCTGGTTGCGCAAGTGCATTTGTGGGTGTAGGTGCTGGAGTATTCACCGTTGATTGCTGGCGAGCGGAGTCGCGTTCCGCCGTAAGCCCCGCAATTTCGAGCGTCGAATCTTCGATTTGGCGCAGACGGTCAAGTTGCTCCTGCGTTAGTGTCGCGATGTTGAATTCAGCCATGGAGGGGGTGTCGGGCAAGCTCAGCGAGAGCCTCTGTCGTGGCCGTGCGTGCTTACGAGAGAGCACTACGAGCAGCGGTGCTTGTTTCGTTGAGAGACGTCTACCCCCCCCCAAAAAAATGAGTTAGTGGGGAAGCGAAGGTGTGGGTGCGGTCCAAGAAGAGATAGTAGGCTCTGAATACCAAGTATTACGAGTGCAATTGAGTGAGCGAGCGAGAATTGCACTATCAAAGCAAGCGTACAATGAGCAAAGGCATGAGCGAAGAATATATAGCGAAACTACAGTGGTAACGGTAATGCGTGAGAATAGGGTGTGCGACGGGCCTGGCGCCGAGGTCGGGAATTGTTGAGGCGAAGGTCCAAAGCGCGGGTGACCGACCGAACCTTGAGGTTTGGTCGCGTCGTGAACAGTGGCGTCGAGGCGAGTGGTAACGGTTTACTGTTGGGTGCTGTTGGCGGGAACAGTGGTGTACGCGCTGAGCAGGGACGCGAGGTAAGGAAAAGGGGTTCCCTTACACAGGGCTTTCATTAGGGCATCACGAGGCCTCCAATGGAAGCTCTGTATAATCTGAAAAATGCCATGTCTTTCTAAGAAACAACCCCTCTAGCTAGCACAAGGTTGGGAATTGTTGAGGCGAAGGTCCAAAGCGCGGGTGACCGACCGAACCTTGAGGTTTGGTCGCGGCGTGAACAGTGGCGGGAACAATAGTCGAGGCGAGTGGTAACGGTTACTGTTGGGTGCTGTTGGCGGGAACAGTGGTGTATGCGCTGAGCAGGGACGCGAGATAAGGAAAAGGGGTTCCCTTACAATGCAAGCTCTGTAGAATCTGAAAGAATGCCATGGCTTTCAAAGAACCAAGCCCTCTAGCTAGCACAAAAGCGCCGCCCGTGGGGCTCGAACCCACGACCACAAGGTTAAGAGCCTTGCGCTCTACCAACTGAGCTAGGGCGGCTGCTTTGTTATCCCATGTTACCAAGATTGGAACAATACTTTTTCATGCCCTTTCATGGATGTTCATGCCCTGCTATGCCCTTTAATGGATGTTCACGCCCTGCCATGCCCTGTAAGGGCGCGTGTGGTCTTACAAATCTGTGAAAGTTTATGTTTTTAGGTCGAATGTAGCATTTGAACAAAACTCGACTTTCCTTGCAGCGAAGTTCGAATCTTGGGTCTCCAACACAGACGAGTCACAATCACACACCCAAGGTCGAACACAGAGATTCGACCTTTTAGGGAAGGCGGCGAGCCGCCCGTAGGGGGTGTAGGCTACCTGGTACAGCACGACACGTCAACTTAGTGCGCAACGAAACTCCGCGACCTTCGCAAAGCAGTCGTGATTTTCAGATGGCCTTCGTACGTGCTGAAAACAACACACACTCGCCTCACGTGCACCCGCACGTTCACCCGCACGTTCATCCGCACGTTCACCCGCACGTTCACCCGCACGTTCACCCGCACGTTCACCCGCACGTTCACCCGCACGTTCACCCGCACGTTCACCCGCACGTTCACCCGCACGTTCACCCGCACGTTCACCCGCACGTTCACCCGCACGTTCACCCGCACGTTCACCCGCACGTTCACCCGCACGTTCACCCGCACGTTCACCCGCACGTTCACCCGCACGTTCACCCGCACGTTCACCCGCACGTTCACCCGCACGTTCACCCGCACGTTCACCCGCACGTTCACCCGCACGTTCACCCGCACGTTCACCCGTGTGATTCGAGTTGAGTTCACATTTGACATTCGCACTTATGTGTCCCCAAAATTCTCGTGCCTTCGCCAAAGCGTCTTGACGACATTGGCGAAGCTGGTAACCACACAAAGTTCGACTTTTTTTCAAAACTTGAAAATAGATCACACGCGCCCTAATGGATGTTCACGCCCTGCCATGCCCTTTAATGGATGTTCACGCCCTGCCCTGCCATGCCCTTTAATGGATGTTCACGCCCTGCCATGCCCTTTAATGGACGTTCACACCCTGCCATGCTCCCTGCCATGCCCTGCCATGCCCTGCCATGCCCTGCCATGCCCTGCCATGCCCTGCCATGCCCTGCCATGCCATGCCCTGCCATGCCCTCCCATTCCCATTCCCATGCCGTGCCATTCTCATTCCCATTCCCATGCCGTGCCATTCCCATTCCCATTCCCATTCCCATTCCCATTCCCATTCCCATTCCCATTCCCATTCCCATTCCCATTCCCATTCCCATTCCCATTCCCATTCCCATTCCCATGCCCTGCCATTCCCATTCCCATGCCCTGCCATTCCCATTCCCATGCCCTGCCATTCCCATTCACATGCCCTGCCATTCCCATTCACATGCCCTGCCATTCCCATTCCCATGCCCTGCCATTCCCATTCCCATGCCCTGCCATTCCCATTCACATGCCCTGCCATTCCCATTCCCATGCCCTGCCATTCCCATTCCCATGCCCTGCCATTCCCATGCCCTGCCATTCCCATGCCCTGCCATTCCCATTCCCATTCCCATTCCCTCCCATGCCCTGCCATTCCCATTCCCATGCCCTGCCATTCCCATGCCCTGCCATTCCCATTCCCATTCACATGCCCTGCCATTCCCATTCCCATGCCCTGCCATTCCCATTCCCATTCCCATGCCCTGCCATTCCCATGCCCTGCCATTCCCATTCCCATGCCCTGCCATTCCCATTCCCATTCCCATGCCCTGCCATTCCCATGCCCTGCCATTCCCATTCCCATGCCCTGCCATTCCCATTCCCATGCCCTGCCATTCCCATTCCCCTGTCCTGCCATTCCCATGTCCTGCCATTCCCATGTCCTGCCATTCCCATGTCCTGCCATTCCCATGTCCTGCCATTCCCATGTCCTGCCATTCCCATGTCCTGCCATTCCCATGTCCTGCCATTCCCATGTCCTGCCATTCCCATGTCCTGCCATTCCCATGTCCTGCCATTCCCATGTCCATTCCCATGTCCTGCCATTCCCATGTCCTGCCATTCCCATTCCCATTCCCATGTCCTCCCATTCCCATGTCCTCCCATTCCCATTCCCATTCCCATGTCCTCCCATTCCCATTCCCATGTCCTCCCATTCCCATTCCCATGTCCTCCCATTCCCATCCCCATGTCCTGCCATTCCCATCCCCATGTCCTGCTATTCCCATTCCCATTCCCATTCCCATGTCCTGCCATTCCCATTCCCATTCCCATGCCCTGCCATTCCCATTCCGCCAAAAGCAATGACATCATAAGCCACGATGATTTCCCCAAGCCTGCCTGCCCCCGATGACATGAAATAGAATACCAAGATTTGTTAGCTTGCATCCGATTATCAAGCCGCCGCCCGTGGGGCTCGAACCCACGACCACAATGTTAAGAGCCTTGCGCTCTACCAACTGAGCTAGGGCGGCCACGAAGTAGAGCAGTGCGCTACATAATTCAAGAAGGACCTACCAAACCACTGATGATGCACTGGGCAAAAATCTCTGAGAAGTATAGATAAAAGCAGCACACACTGCGGTTCACTTAAAAAAGGGCAGGTGCTGCTGCTGACAGCACCCTGGCGTCCGTGTGATAAGCGCAGATAAAGAAACATGTGAACGGAAGTGAGAGCAGATGCAAGATCGTTGTGAGAGGGGAAACCTTGTTGTGGTAAAGCATCAAAGGAAGATGATCATGCTGGGAGAATACATGAACGGGAAAAAAACCCTGTGAGGCAGGGACACTAAGGTACGAAACTGATTAGAGGCGGGCAATACCTGAATCGATCCGTCGGTGCAATGATTACAGAGTTTCTGATAGCAGAAGTCCCTACAGCCTTAGAATTGATGTGACCTTGAATATCTCACTATGTGTTAAAGCTGAGTACTTCCAAGCGCGGTAGCAATGACGAGGCCTTATTCGCCGTTATAGCAGTAATCAGGCTCCTTATCTGTCAAGGTGACTTATAGAGTCCCATATCATGTCACTCTGCAGCTAAAGGGTGGGGGAAAGGAGCGGATGTGGGCAGGTCGCGAACGCAAGAAAGTAGGATGGGAGAGTGGCAGAAAAGTCTTCACATAAGTCATTGAAGCAGCGCCAGATGGGAAATTTAGGTGGAACGTACGCTTTCCGTAAAGACAACACCTGTTAGGTTAGATGCGTCGCTTGTGACGCTACTCGGTGATCGGAGAGAGAAGTCGTAATCAGTCAGTCATGCGTGGTACGAAAAACACGACCAGATGCAATCTGTCAGTCAGGAATATTTTGAAAAGTGAGTGGAAGTGTATGCAGGAAAGGGCAGCGCGTAGTACCTGCGGAAAGGGCAGCGAGTACCTGCGGAATAAGGCAGCGAGTACCTGCGGAATAAGGCAGCGAGTACCTGCGGAATAAGGCAGCGAGTACCTGCGGAATAAGGCAGCGAGAAACATAGCGTTAACTACAGGCGTTACGTGTAATGGTTCGCGTACGGTAGCAATTTCGTTCCCGTTTTGTTCGGTGCGAGCGTGGAAAGGGCTACGAGAGTGCGGGCAGAGCTGCCAACGCGAAGGCTACTCCAGTCGATCCTTTCGGGCTTAGCGTCGTCGACCAAACTAAGAATAAAACGTCCGACAGTAGTGGCGGAATTTATATGAAAGCACATTATGGAGGCTTGGATGCGGTGCGGACACGGGAAAACGGAAAGCAACAACCTGAAGTACTCACCTGCGACGGAACAAGTGACTAGCGTGCGACGCAACAGGCGTTTGGCATTCGGCGCAACGATTAAATTACTTGCCATCGCCGTGACTGATTCGTAGCATGTGTCCCTACGGAAGACTAGCTCGTGGAAAGGAAAGCAACTAACTGTATGTGTTGAAAACCTTCGGCAGTTGCTGCTAGAATTGTCGGAAATGGAATGTTGTGTGGCAAGCATGCTCACTGTTTACGTTCAAAGCTCGCACATTCGTTACAGCAACCATTTACCATTCTCTCCGATTCACCAAATGCATTTTCAGCACTTACTTAACACTGTACAATCCCAATTCAGTTTTTGTTTGGACCCCTGTTGGGGGAGGGGTGTGCCTTCCTCGGAGTTAGTGCAATACCGAAGCGACACGCGCAGGGCCGACCAGCAAGCTGGCCATTGGCACCTGCCCCCAAAAGAAATTAATTTAATATCATGTGGACCGATGGTCCACGTATCAGATATTAAACTGATAAGAACAGATACTACACTTGATCTTAGCCAAAAGGCCGAGAAAGGTATACCTGACAATTGCATCGTCGCCGGTTTTATTTGTCCGGAAGACATCCCAACTTCGAGCCTTGTGGGTCTTCCTTCCTAACCCTTCATCGTATGGTGCTGCTTAAACAGCCACGTGTTGGACCAGTCCTTTGTGCTTGCTGACTTGTGTCGCCTTGTCTGGGTTTCGGACTTGAGTTTCTTCAACTATTTAAGCCAACACTGCTTCCCTCCCTGCAGTGAGCTCAACTCCTCGCCTCAACTACTCCTATTCCGTACGACGCATCGATGCGTCGTCCTTCTCACTTCACCGCGCCCAGCTGAGAGCGCGCGTCAGTAGCTCGTGGTAGCTACTTTTTGCGCAATGTTTCCCGTGAAGCGTTGGGACGGCCTTCACGAGGCGCTCCCCTCGTCGTACCTCCACGCCTCCACTCCGCCGCTCAAGCCTCCGCCCACCTTTCCGCTCACTCCCGCTTCCGCCCCGCCGTTTCCCGCGCATAGAAAACTTGAGACGCCTTTCGGCGGTGAGAAGGCTGATCGGTTAACGGAGAGCATTGATCAGAGCAAAGTTGGGGGAAAGACAATTGGAGGATCGAATGTCGTTGGCGGAGGCGTCGAAAGAGCTAAGAACGATACTTCTGCGGCGGAGATTGCGGGAGGAAGCGTTAGTGAAACGAAGAAGAAGAGGAATAAAGGAAAGCGGGAGGTAGAGGAAAGGGGTGCGGAAGGTGCGAGTGCTCCGAATGCGACGGTAAAAGACTCGCACGGCGTCGCACGTGACGTGGCGGGAGAGCAGGCAGGGAATGCGCTAGGTGGCGAGGGCGGGGGTTTGGGATTCGCACTAGATGCAGCACAAGGGCTTAGAGATGGCAGTGGGGAGCTGGCACAGGGAGCTCCAGTGGGTAGGGGGAAGGACAAGAAGAGGAAACGGAGGCGGGAGGATGTTGGGAGTGCGAGCTGTGCTGCGGCTCAAAGCGGTGGGGAGAGGGAAGGTGAAGCAGGGGGCGGAGGAGGGTTTGAGCGAGGTTCAGGGTTTGGGGGTGTAGCGCATGCGGAGCAGGAAGACTCGGAACAGAAAGCGGGTTTAGGGGATGGCGAGGGAAAGGCGAAAAGGAAAAAGGAGCGGAAGGGGAAGGGGGCTGGGCGAGGGAAGCAGGATGGGACCATGGATGGGGCCATGGATGGGGCCATGGATGGGGCCATGGATGGTGGGGACGACCCGGTGGTGGTGGCAGCAAACGAGGCAGCTGAGGGCGATGGAGCGAGGGAGAGGGGCGAAGAGGGCAACGGAGCAGGGGACGATGGTGACGATGGGGTTGTGGGCGCAGAGGCTGCGCTTCAGGCACCTTCTAAGCACAACGCAGCAGCAAAAAAGGGAGGGGGAGGCGGAGGGGCAGGGGGAGGGGGAGGTGCGGTGCTGCCGTGGATGCGGGCGCCAGTGAAGTGCTCCACAGCTGATGCCGTTCCTCTAGCTTCGGTGCCGAACCTAGACAAGCGGTACGGGAGTCAGCTGTGAGGGTGGGGTTGGGAATTCGCGTGGTCGTCGTCCTTGCATTGCATCTGCTGCTGCCGTCTCTCCCTCACTGCAACACTCGACCCCTGCTGCTTCCCCTCCCCTCTTCGCATTCTTTCCTCTCTCTCTCATTCCCCTCATCACAATCTCCGTTCGTCCTTCCCCTGCATCCCCTCTTGCACGCCCTTCCGCCCCGCCGCTCTGCCCCATCCCCCCCTGCCAGCCTCCTGCGCGCCCTCGCCCCGGCCGGCATTTCTTATCTCTTTCCCGTGCAAGCCACGGTGTGGCGCGAACTAATGGGGTTACCTGGTAACCACCCCCACGCCCATGGAAAAACAACACCCAGGAAGGGGAAGGATGGGGGAACGGGGAGAGCAGGCGCTGGTGATGGGGGGAAGGGGGGGCGGAGAGGGGGAGTCGCGCAGGCGGAGTGGGAGGGCGGCGAGGAGCGGGAGGTGGCGGGGCTGCGGGCGGCGTCGCACGACTTATGTGTGTGTGCACCGACGGGGAGTGGCAAGACGCTGGCGTATGCGCTGCCAGTGGTGCAGGCTCTGGCAGGACGAGTAGTGCGGCGAGTGCGGGCGGTGGTGGTGCTGCCCACGAGGGACCTGGCTGCTCAGGTGGGTGTTATGGTGCTGCTGTGCTGCAGTGCTGTCCTGCCGCACACATACGCGGCACACGCAAGCTGCTGCCGTGCACTTGCACTCCCTTGCTCGCAGACAAGCCGACTCCTGGTTGTGCTCCCTTGACCAACTCTCACCCACTTCGCCTCCTCCCCTTCCCCACTTCTCCAGCCAAATTTCAACCAGCAACCTTACTCTCCCACCGTTGCCCCCTAACTTTACTTGTCTTCTCCCCAACAAACCCTCCCCCAATCCCTCTCTCTACCTCGCCCCCCACCGTGCCATTCTGCCCACCCCTCCAGGTGAAGCACGTGTTCGACACCATAGCGCCAGCTGTCGGCCTCTCAGTGGCGCTCATCAACGGCCAATCATCGCTCGCTGACGAGGCGACCCACCTCGTGCCGCACCCCGCCGCCCGTTCCGGCCCCTTGGGCCTCCTCAGCCGCCCCAGCTACAGCCAGGGAAACGGCTACAGCAGTGGCGGCGGCTGTAGCGGGGCGGATATCGTGGTGGCGACGCCGGGGCGGCTGGTGGACCATCTGAGGGGCACTCAGGGCTTCTCCCTTTCGCACCTGCAGTTCCTTGTGAGTCCCCTACAGCCGTTGCCTCTGCTACAGCCGTTGCCTCTGCTACAGCCGTTGCCTCTGCTACAGCCGTTGCCTGTGCTACAGCCGTTGCCTCTGCTACAGCCGTTGCCTCTGCTACAGCCGTTGCCTCTGCTACAGCCGTTGCCTCTGCTACAGCCGTTGCCTCTGCTACAGCCGTTGCCTCTGCTACAGCCGTTGCCTCTGCTACAGCTGTTGCCTCTGCTACAGCTGATGCCTCTGCTACAGCTGATGCCTCTGCTACAGCCGTTGCCTCTGCTACAGCCGTTGCCTCTGCTACAGCTGTTGCCTCTGCTACAGCTGTTGCCTCTGCTACAGCTGTTGCCTCTGCTACAGCTGTTGGCACTGAGGTTTACCGAGGGGCACTCAGGGTTTCTCTCTCCCACGCCTGCAGTTCCTGGTGAGGCTGCTACAACCGTTTGAGGCTGCTACAACCGTTTGCTCAGCTACAGCTGTGGGGGTCACAGCGGCTGTAGCTGTAGCCTGGCAAATATTGCGGTTGCGTTGCGACGCCTCATGTACCTCTCTCTACCCCTCTGCTCCCCGTGTGCAGTGAATTCACCTTCTCTCTGCACTCCGCTCTCCTCTGGCCACCCTCCCGTGTCCCCCATGCGCCCCCCCGCCCCTATCAGGTGGTGAACGAGGCGGACCGGCTGCTGCGCCAGTCCTGCCATGACTGCCTGCCACTCACCCTCGCCGCTGCCTCGCCTCCCCAAGCTCCTCTGTATTCCTCTGTCCCCTGTGCACCCCTGTGCACCCCCTGGCCTCAATCCCTCCCACACCCCTCCTGCTCCCCCCTGGCCCCATGAGGTGGTGGACGAGGCGGATCGGCTGCTGCGCCAGTCCTACCACGGCTGGCTGCCTCTCACCCTCGCCGCCGCTGCTGCCTCCCCTTCCGCTGGCACCGCTGCCACATCAGCAGTCGCCGGCATGCATGCTGACGTAGCAGTGAGCATTCCTGGTCTGGGCGGCGTCGTGCATGCTAGTGCCGGTGGCAGCATGAGCGGTGCTCTCCCCACTCCGTTCATCCACGGCCTGCGATCCCTGTGAGGCCCCAACACTCACCTGATGCTCTGCGCTGCTGCTATATGCCCCCACTATGTGCCGCTGCCTTGTGCTGCTGTCTCACCTGCACGGTTCCTCTCGCCCTCTCATGCTCGCCCCACTCCATTCATCCACGGCCTGCGATCCCTGTGAGTGAGCCCTCAACTTCTCCTGCCGTGTGCTCTTCCTTGCGTGCCCATCCCAAGTTCTTGCTCTTCACACTTGCTCTCTCTTCCGCCTCTCACATCCCCATAGTTCCCTCTCGCCTTTTGCCCCTCACAACAACCCCGTAACTCCATTGTTCCCCTCCTCCACACTCAATCAATCACCCCACTCATCCTCGCGGCCTCGCCTCTTCCCCGTGACTCTCCCCAACACCAAGGGCCATCGAGGGATCAAGCTCGTGTGGGTGTGCTGTACCATGCACACCCACAGTCCTGCTCCGCCTGTTCGTTCCTCTTCTCTCCTTTCCTTTCCTTCCCTGCGTCATCGCAGCGCCCCCTATGCCCCCTCCCTCCTCCCTGTCTCTCGTCCCTTCTCGTGCCTCATCTCTCCTTCCTGCCTTGCTGCAGCACAGCCCCCCTGTGCCCCCACGTTCCTCTCTGTTCCTGGCATTGAGTGCCATCGGGTCATCAAGCTAGTGTGCTCTCCCATACTCACCTGTCCATCGTCCTCTTCTCGTGCCTCTTCTCTCCTCCCTTCCTTCCTTCCCCAGCCCATCGCAGCGCCCCCTGCTCCCCCTCCCTACTCTCCCTGCCTGACAGTGAGCGCCATTGGATCCTCATGCTCAAGTGCTTCTCCATTCTCACGTGCGCTCCTTTGCCTCCTGTGACCCTTCCTTTCGTATCCACCCCGTACACCATAGCAGCGCCACATGTGCCCCCTCGCTGCTCTCCCTGCCTCACATTGAGTGCCGTCGGGTGTTCAAGCTCGAGTGCTCTGCCATGCTCACCTCTCTCCATTCTCTTCTCGTGCCTCTTCTCTCCTTCCCTCCTTGCGTCATCACAGCGCCCCCTGTGCCCCCGCGCTGCTATCTGTGCCTGACATTGAACGGCATCGAGTGATCAAGCTAGTGTGCTCTGCCACACTCACCCGCGATCCCTCCAAGATCCAACGGCTCAGATTGCACCGCCCGCTCTTCATCTCCTCCGCCGCCCACCTGCTCGCCTCCGCCATGCTCCGCCACGTGGCAGCTGGGGGCACACGCCACGCTGGCACCATTGCTGACGTTGAAGTTGGTGATGTGGGTGCTGACGAGGAAGGTATGGAGGAGGGCAGGGAGGAGGAGGAGTTGGAGGAGGAGGAGGGGGTGAGACACTACCACTTGCCTCCACAGTTGGTTACTTCCATGCTGGTGAGTGGCGTGTGAGTGGTTTGTGAGTATGGTGCAAGTATGGTGTGCGGCAATGTGATTTGGATGGCTGGAATGGTTGGAGAGCGGTCAGGATTGCACTGGTGTCAGTGTTGCAGTCTGACTGGCACCCCCCACCCCCCCCCACACACACACACACTCACACACACACACAAACTCACACACACACACACACACTCACTCACTTCCACTGCTTGCTCATTCTCCTCTAACTTCTCCTTCCGTCAACCCTCCTCCCTCCTCGCCCTCTCCCCCATCAGCCACACATCACTCACTCTCACGCGCTCCCCTGCCTCCTCTCCCTCCACAATTCCTCTCCCTCTCCCCCTGCCCAGGTGTGTCCGCGTGCGAGTGACAAGCCGCTGCTGCTGGCAGCTTTGCTCAAGAAGCTCACGGCAGGGGAGGAGGCGGGGGCTGGCGAAGGGGAGGGGGGGCAGGAAGGGAAGGGAGATGCTGCTGCCAGCACTGGTGCTGCTGCCAACAGTGCGGCGGATGCTGCCAACACTGGTGCAGCTGCCAACAGAGCGGCGGATGCAGCACGGCCCCGGCAGCTGACGCTGGTGTTTGCATCCTCCCTGCAGGCGGCCCACCGCCTCTTCCTGCTGCTCTCCGCCTTTCCCCCCGCCTCCCTGCCCTTCGCCTTTGCTGAGTTCTCCTCCCGCCAGCCACAGCGCCAGCGCAGGTGAGGAGGGGAGCAGGTGAGGAGGGGAGCAGGTGAGGAGGGGAGCAGGTGAGGAGGGGAGCAGGTGAGGAGGGGAGCAGGTGAGGAGGGGAGCAGGTGAGGAGGGGAGCAGGTGAGGAGGGGAGCAGGTGAGGAGGGGAGCAGGTGAGGAGGGGAGCAGGTGAGGAGGGGAGCAGGTGAGGAGGGGAGCAGGTGAGGAGGGGAGCAGGTGAGGAGGGGAGCAGGTGAGGAGGGTAGCAGGTGAGGAGGGGAGCAGGTGAGGAGGGGAGCAGGTGAGGAGGGGAGCAGGTGAGGAGGGGAGCAGGTGAGGAGGGGAGCAGGTGAGGAGGGGAGCAGGTGAGGAGGGGAGCAGGTGAGGAGGGGAGCAGGTGAGGAGGGGAGCAGGTGAGGAGGGGAGCAGGTGAGGAGGGGAGCAGGTGAGGAGGGGAGCAGGTGAGGAGGGGAGCAGGTGAGGAGGGGAGCAGGTGAGGAGGGGAGCAGGTGAGGAGGGGCGCAGGTGAGGAGGGGAGCAGGTGAGGAGGGGAGCAGGTGAGGAGGGGAGCAGGTGAGGAGGGGAGCAGGTGAGGAGGGGAGCAGGTGAGGAGGGGAGCAGGTGAGGAGGGGAGCAGGTGAGGAGGGGAGCAGGTGAGGAGGGGAGCAGGTGAGGAGGGGAGAGCAGGTGAGGAGGGGAGCAGGTGAGGAGGGGAGCAGGTGAGGAGGGGAGCAGGTGAGGAGGGGAGCAGGTGAGGAGGGGAGCAGGTGAGGAGGGGAGCAGGTGAGGAGGGGAGCAGGTGAGGAGGGGAAGCAGTGGTGGTCGCGCTGAAATTGCTTTCCCCCTGTCTGCGTTGTCCTTGACGTTGCATGCCTCCCTTTGCTTGCATGCCATGTCATGCCATGCCATGCCATGCCATGCCATGCCATGCCATGCCATGCCATGCCATGCCATGCCATGCCATGCCATGCCATGCCATCCATCCGTCCATCCTCACCCCCTCAAACGTGTTGGCAGGAGTAGTACCATTCTCGATCTATAGGCTCGACGTGCTGCGGCCTTGCCTCTGTCGAATCACTTCGTTCCTATCACCATTATGATGACCCCTCGTGCCAACCCCCTGCCATCCTCTCCCTCCGCCTCCCCTCCGCCGCCAACCACCACAACCACAACCCTCGCATCGCATCGCATGAGCAGTGCCATTCTGGATCGGTTTCGCAGGGGCCAGGTGCAGGTGCTGGTGGCCAGTGACGCCATGACACGTGGCATGGACGTGGAGGGCGTGTTCAACGTCGTCAGCTACGATGCACCTGTCTACCCGAAGACTTTTGTTCATCGGGCAGGCCGAACTGCCCGGGCGGGCAGGCCGGGGCACTGCTACACGATTCTGAGGAAGCAGGAGGTGCGCTGGATGCTTGTGACTGTGGTGAATGTGACTGTAATGAGATGCTACTGCGATGCCCTATATTACACATATAGCCCAACCCCTGCCCAAATCACACACCACCTCCACCCGTCCCACCCCACTCCCCCATCCCACTGCTCTAAGGTGCAGTATTTCAGGGTGGTGCTGGGGAAGGTTGGTGGGGCTGTGTGGAGTGTAACGGGATGGCCCATGCACGCCATGTGCCCCATACCATTACACCCCCCTCCCTCGGATTGAAATGACGTAACTCACTCCACCCATGCAATCCAATCCACCACTTCCTCCCATCCCCTCCCATCAGGTGCGGCACTTCAAGGCGGTGCTGGGGAAGGTGGGCTGTGCTGACTGCCCGCAGGGCAAGGCGCCGTCCCACCTCATGGAGGGGCTCCGAGAGCACTATGATGCTGGTGAGTGCAGTGCGGTGCTGGTGGGTGCAGTGTGGTGTGGGTGGGTGCAGTGTGCTGTGCCTGTGCGCTCTGCCCGCAGGGCAAGGCGCCGTCCCACCTCATGGAGGGGCTCAGAGAGCACTACGATGCCGGTGAGTGCAGGGTGGTGCTGGTGAGTCCAGGAGGCGTGCAATTGTACTGCTATGAGTGCATATGGGGTTGTATGTGTGTATGGGGAGTGAATGTGTGCATGGGGGAGTGAATGTGTGCATGGGGGAGTGAATGTGTGCATGGGGGAGTGAATGTGTGCATGGGGGAGTGAATGTGTGCATGGGGGAGTGAATGTGTGCATGGGGGAGTGAATGTGTGCATGGGGGAGTGAATTTGTGCATGAGGGAGTGAATGTGTGCATGGGGGACTGAATGTGTGCATGGGGGAGTGAATGTGTGCATGAGGGAGTGAATGTGTGCATGGGGGAGTGAATGTGTGCATGGGGGAGGGAATGTGTGCATGGGGGAGTGAATGTATGCATGGGGGAGTGAATGTGTGCATGGGGGAGTGAATGTGTGCATGGGGGAGTGAATGTGTGCATGGGGGAGTGAATGTGTGCATGGGGGAGTGAATGTGTGCATGGGGGAGTGAATGTGTGCATGGGGGAGTGAATGTGTGCATGGGGGAGTGAATGTGTGCATGGGGGAGTGAATGTGTGCATGAGGGAGTGAATGTGTGCATGGGGGAGTGAATGTGTGCATGGGGGAGTGAATGTGTGCATGGGGGAGTGAATGTGTGCGTGGGGGAGTGAATTTGTGCATGGGGGAGTGAATGTGTGCATGGGGGAGTGAATGTGTGCATGGGGGAGTGAATGTGTGCATGGGGGAGTGAATGTGTGCATGGGGGAGTGAATGTGTGCATGGGGGAGTGAATGTGTGCATGGGGGAGTGAATGTGTGCATGGGGGAGTGAATGTGTGCATGGGGGAGTGAATGTGTGCATGGGGGAGTGAATGTGTGCATGGGGGAGTGAATGTGTGCATGGGGGAGTGAATGTGTGCATGGGGGAGTGAATTTGTGCATGAGGGAGTGAATGTGTGCATGGGGGAGTGAATGTGTGCATGGGGGAGTGAATGTGTGCATGGGGGAGTGAATTTGTGCATGAGGGAGTGAATGTGTGCATGGGGGAGTGAATGTGTGTATGGGGAGTGAATGTGTGCATGGGGGAGTGAATGTGTGCATGGGGGAGTGAATGTGTGCGTGGGGGAGTGAATTTGTGCATGGGGGAGTGAATGTGTGCATGGGGGAGTGAATGTGTGCATGGGGGAGTGAATGTGTGCATGGGGGAGTGAATGTGTGCATGGGGGAGTGAATGTGTGCATGGGGGAGTGAATGTGTGCGTGGGGGAGTGAATTTGTGCATGGGGGAGTGAATGTGTGCATGGGGGAGTGAATGTGTGCATGGGGGAGTGAATGTGTGCATGGGGGAGTGAATGTGTGCATGGGGGAGTGAATGTGTGCATGGGGGAGTGAATGTGTGCATGGGGGAGTGAATGTGTGCATGGGGGAGTGAATGTGTGCATGGGGGAGTGAATGTGTGCATGGGGGAGTGAATGTGTGCATGGGGGAGTGAATGTGTGCATGGGGGAGTGAATGTGTGCATGGGGGAGTGAATGTGTGCATGGGGGAGTGAATGTGTGCATGGGGGAGTGAATGTGTGCATGGGGGAGTGAATGTGTGCATGGGGGAGTGAATGTGTGCATGGGGGAGTGAATGTGTGCATGGGGGAGTGAATGTGTGCATGGGGGAGTGAATTTGTGCATGAGGGAGTGAATGTGTGCATGGGGGAGTGAATGTGTGCATGGGGGAGTGAATGTGTGCATGAGGGAGTGAATGTGTGCATGGGGGAGTGAATGTGTTCATGAGGGAGTGAATGTGTGCATGGGGGAGTGAATGTGTGCATGGGGGAGTGAATGTGTGCATGGGGGAGTGAATGTGTGCATGGGGGAGTGAATGTGTGCATGGGGGAGTGAATGTGTGCATGGGGGAGTGAATGTGTGCATGGGGGAGTGAATGTGTGCATGAGGGAGTGAATGTGTGCATGGGGGAGTGAATGTGTGCATGGGGGAGTGAATGTGTGCATGGGGGAGTGAATGTGTGCATGGGGGAGTGAATGTGTGCATGGGGGAGTGAATGTGTGCATGGGGGAGTGAATGTGTGCATGGGGGAGTGAATGTGTGCATGGGGGAGTGAATGTGTGCATGGGGGAGTGAATGTGTGCATGGGGGAGTGAATGTGTGCATGGGGGAGTGAATGTGTGCATGAGGGAGTGAATGTGTGCATGGGGGAGTGAATGTGTGAATGAGGGAGTGAATGTGTGCATGGGGGAGTGAATGTGTGCATGGGGGAGTGAATGTGTGCATGGGGGAGTGAATGTGTGCATGGGGGAGTGAATGTGTGCATGAGGGAGTGAATGTGTGCATGGGGGTTTTCACATCTCTCATCTGTCCCTCCTCACACCTCTATCTTGCTCACTCCCCCCTTGCACATCTCTCCCTCTTACACCTCCTCCCTCTCATCTGTCCCCCTCCGTTCTCCTTGCGTGCAAAGGAGTGCCTCCTGACAGTGATGGCTGGTGGAGTGATGCGGTCGGCACCTCCATCGCTCCATCCTCATCCACTCTCTCACACCTCTCTCTCCTCACGCCTTCTTCCTGTTCCGCTTTCCCCCTCCCAAACCTCCTCGCCTGCAGCATTGGAGCGCCTCAAGGCAGTGGTGGGGGAGGAGGAGCGAAGAGGCAAGTGATGACATTGATGCTCCTCGTTTGGACAGCTGTAGCACCTTCTGTCTCAATATATCTCATACCGTATCACCCCGGATAAAAGCGCAGGTGCGCTTATAATAAAACAGTGTTTTTTAGGGGGGTGCTTTTCGAATTGAGTCATTTTTATAAATGCATGCGCTTATATAATGACATATACAAATTTATGATTTTAAGACACTAAATTGCATATTTCACTCTTGCCCTTTCAACCAAGGAAACATTTCGCGTCACAAAACAGAATCGCGTGCAAGCTATTCCCTTCCAGCACACAGGGGACAAGATGCGACACTTTGCAGTCATGCCAGCACATCCTAACTGGACGCGCAGCCAGCCAGGTCTTCGAGAGTCAAGCTTGCTCTCGCTTCAAAAATGAAATTTGCTACCGTTTTGAACAGAAATTTTATTTTAAAAATGTACATGCGCTTATAATAAGTTAAGTTTTCAAAGGGGGTGCGCTTATAATTGAGGATCGGCCATAGGCGCATTGCTCCAGATAGAAGCGCATGCGCTGCGCTTTTATCCGGGGTGATACGGTATCAGTGGCTTGATCACCTGCCTGCCACTTGCACTTGTTGAGTTTGTTGAAGTGGTTACCGTACCGTACATGGATTGTGAAGCCACTAACCAGAACCAACTCCCACTAGCGTGACATGCAACCCCTGGGCAAATCTTAAAGCTCGCGGCCGCTGGGCAAGACTACTAATCTCGCTCAGCTGCTGTTTGGGTGCTGTGAGTTGGCGAATGTTGGGTTACAGTAGGTACGAATAAATCTGATTAATCGAGGCCAAACTCACTGCACAAACTTCAAGTTTCATTGTTTCTCAATTTGGGAGTCTCGGACCCCGACAGAATGTTGGCCCTGGGTTTGCCAACTCAGCGAGTGTTGCGAGAACTTGTGCAAAATAAGTCAACCCCAAAATCTCGACTTTGTGTTCACCTCCCAAACCACCAGCCCCAACCCTTGCGCAAGATTACTAATATTGCGCAATTTGGGCCTTCAGCTGTATTATATGAAGCAAAGCCCTGAGTGCTTTAGGTCGTTTTACTTTCATATTGAAGGCCACTGATAGCAAGCGATTAACAAATCACTGTATCCAGCTACAATTGTAGCCTTTATTTGAGCCAGCTTCAAATTCAGAGATGCAGTCGAATAATGGTGCCGAACACATAATCAAGACATTGGGTGAGAGGCAATAAGTCTGGGCCTGTAAGCGGTCACAACTTGGAAGGAGTGATTGTGGGCAGACCTGGGAGATGCACAGGGAAGGGGGGTGAAGGGGGAGAGGCAGAGGGGAGAAAGGAGAGGGCAGGGGAGGGAGACGGGAGAAAAGGGAGAGGGGAAGAAAGAAAGGGGGAAAGGGGGAAAGGGGGTTGAGGAGAGTTGAGAGGTGTGGTCGAGGTGAGGAATGATGGTGGGGGCTGAAGGATCATGAATAAAATAACAAAAAGCACACGCCAAGCAGCAAACACGCGCCTAGCTGCATGGCGTTGACGATGCTGGGGCACACCTTGGGGGGTGGGCTGGTGGGGTCGAGGAAGGGCAGCACGTCGTTGGGGTTGTGCCACATGGGGTAGCCCTGTAGCTTCGCCTGGAGGGGAGCGTAGAGGGGAGGGAGGAGAAGGGGGGTGTTGGACGAGCAATATGGGCACACCATTGGTGTTGTGCCACACATGGTGCCTCTGTAGCTTCCCCTGGGGGAGCACAGAGACTGTGTGGGTGGGGGAGCAGTGTTGAGGGAGGGAAGAAGGGAAGGGGGCATCAAGGCAGTGTTGCTGGGCCGGGTTGTGCCACACGGGAGATCCCTGCAGCTTTGGATAGAAGTACATAGTGAGTCGGGGGGGAGGAGTGATAGGTGTGGGTGAGGGGGAAGGGTAACGAAGGCATTGGAGCCAATCAAGACAGCTGTGTGATGGATGGGATGGGGGGGGGGTAGACACCCGGTTGTTGAAGCAGAAAGTGGCTTCGGGATGAAAAGCTGGACAGAGAAACTCACGGCGACGTTGAGAGCAGCGAGGGCAGCCATGCCGGCGTGCATCCACTGCGAGGCGGAGGCGATGTGCGGCACAACCACCACGTTGGCCAATCAGTGGCTCATCAGCGTCTCTTCCTGATGCCGGGAGGCATAGAGAAGGGTGGGATCAGTGTTGGCACACAGAATCGGGTGAGATTCCACGTATGGGCCTAAGGGGTTGCATTGTCTGGCTCCATCAGGAAGGGTGGGAGGGGAGGCGAGGGGAGATAGGCATCGGGTGGAGGGCGGGCGGCGCTATGCATCGGGTGGAGGGCGGGCGGCGCTACGCATCGGGTAAGTGAGGGGCGAATGCCTGGAATAGGATGCCAGCTGCTCCGTTGAACAGCTGGCGAACTGATCTCGATCACGAGAGGAGTGATGGATCGCTGCACACACACTCCTCGACGCTGAGAGCAGCTCTGAAGGCGGGGTTGGCCTTGAGGTGCCTCACCAGTGCCACCTCGTCCACCACCGAACCCCTGCTGCAGTTCACCATTATGGCGTCCTTTAAGAGGGGAGTGTTAGAATATATCTGTAACTGCTTGTAGCTGTAGTTAGTGTATTTATTGCTTGATTGTTGGTGGTGCACCTCTTGTGCTTGTTCTCTCACTTATATGTTCTTTGTTTGTTATAGTGAACCCCTCTTTTCTCCTTACCAACTCTCTCGACCTTCTGGCCTAGGCTACTAAGCCTAGGCCCTAATACATTCTCCTTCTTTCAACATGGTATTCAGAGCAGGTACCTTCCTGCTGCCTTGCTTAACGGGCCCACCAATTTGCTTCCGCTGCCTATCGTCCTGCCGCGCGCCTCGGGCGCGCGGCGTATTTTTCTCGCCGTGTGCTCGGGGCGCACGGCGGTTTTCTGCCCGCCGTGCGCCCTGGGCGCGCGGCGTCTTCCTGCCCCGCGCGCGGCCTGCCTTCACGCCGCATGCGCGCATGCCTCACGTCCACGCGCGGGCCTGTTTTGCCCGCCCGTACCCTCCACTTCGCGGCGCCCTGCGAGGCGCCGCTCCTGCTCGTCACGACGCACCTGCGAGACCCGGGCGTCGCCGCTCTTGCTCGTCGCGACGCCCCTGCAGGACCCGCGCGGCGTCGCCCTGCTCGTCGCGATGCCTCTGCGGGACCCGCGGGGCGTCGCCACTGCTCGTCGCGGCGCCTCCTGGACGCCGCCCCTGCTCGTCGCGGCGCCACTGGGGCGTCGCCCTTGCTCGTCGCGGCGCCCCTTGGGCGCCGTCCCTGCTCGTCGCGGCGCCCCTTGGGCGCTGTCCCTGCTCGTCGCGGCGTCCTCCCCCCTGGCCACCGCCTCTGCACCTGCGCTCGCGCCAGCTTTGCAGCCGCGCGCGGGCCTGCCATGCACCAGCGCCGCCCCTGGAGCAGCTGCCCCTGGACCCTGGACCAGCCGCCGCCGCCCCTGGAGCAGTCGCCCTTGGACCCAGAGCAGCCGCCCCTGGCCCCTGGAGCAGCAGCCCCCGGTGCAGCCGCCCCTGGACCTCCGCAGCCGCCCTTGGCCCCTGGTGCAGCCGCCCCTGTTGCAGCCGCCCCTGGACCCAGAGCACCTGCCCCTGGCCCCTGGAGCAGCTGCCCCTGGTGAAGCCGCCCCTGGACCTCAGCAGCCGCCCCTGGACCCCGCGGCTCCGACCCTGCAGCAGCCCTCAATGCCGCCGCAGGGACCCCGCGAGCCGCCCCAGCAGCAGCCCACGGCGCCGACCCTGCAGCTGCATGCGCCGCCGCTCCTGGACTCGGTACGGCTGCCTCCCTGTGCTGCCCGTTGCTGCCCGTGCCTGTGCTGCCTGTTGCCGCCCGTTGCTGCCCGTGCCTGTGCCGCCTGTTGCCGCCCGTTGCTGCCCGTGCCTGTGCCGCCTGTTGCCGCCCGTTGCTGCCCGTGCGTGTGCTGCCCGTGCTGCCCGTTGCTGCCCGTGCCTGTGCTGCCCATTGCCGCCCGTTGCTGCCTTTGCCTGTGCTGCCTGTTGCCGCCCGTTGCTGCCTGTGCCTGTGCTGCCTGTTGCCGCCCGTTGCTGCCCGTGCCTGTGCTGCCCGTTGCCGCCCGTTGCTGCCCGTGCCTGTGCTGCCCGTTGCCGCCCGTTGCTGCCCGTGCCTGTGCTGCCTGCTGCCGCCCGTTGCTGCCTGTGCCTGTGCTGCCCGTTGCTGCCTGTTGCTGCCCGTGCCTGTGCCGCCCGTTGCCGCCTGTTGCTGCCCGTGCCTGTGCTGCCCGTTGCCACCTGTTGCTGCCTGTGCCTGTGCTGCCTGTTGCCGCCCGTTGCTGCCCGTGCCTGTGCTGCCCGTTGCCGCCCGTTGCTGCCCGTGCCTGTGCTGCCCGTTGCCGCCCGTTGCTGCCCGTGCCTGTGCTGCCCGTTGCCGCCCGTTGCTGCCCGTGCCTGTGCTGCCTGCTGCCGCCCGTTGCTGCCTGTGCCTGTGCTGCCCGTGCCTGTGCCGCCCGTTGCCGCCCGTTGCCGCCCGTGCCTGTGCTGCCCGTTGCCACCTGTTGCTGCCCGTGCCTGTGCTGCCTGTTGCCGCCCGTTGCTGCCCGTGCCTGTGCTGCCCGTTGCCGCCCGTTGCTGCCCGTGCCTGTGCTGCCCGTTGCCGCCCTTTGCTGCCCGTGCCTGTGCTGCTTGTTGCCGCCCGTTGCTGCCCCTGCTCTGCTCCGCGCTGTTGCCCTGCACGCGCGGCTGCCCTGCCCTGCTCCGCGCTGTTGCCCTGCACGCGCGGCTGCCCTGCCTGTGCCTATGCTGCCCCTGCTCTTCCCCCTCCCCCTTCTTCGTCTCCCTGCTGCGCGTGCAGCCATGGAACGGAGGCTATGGGGGTGGCGGGTATGGGGGTGATGGGTGTGTGTGATCCCCTTCCCCTCCTCCTCCTTTCTCTCCCACTGCTGCAGCTGCCGCTGGGGGGGGGTGGGTGTGAGGGTGTGGGGGAGCTGGGGGAGAGGTGCTAGGGCTGTCGAGGAGTGTGGAAGGGGGATTTGGAGGACTGGGGAAGGTTCCAGGAAGCAGCCGCCCCGGAGCCAGCAACTTCACCTGCCAGCATGGTTATTTGGCTTTACTCTGCTTGGTGTACCCATTCATGAGGTGTTGTTGCACAGACTCCTACTGCAGGCAGTTATGGGGGAGTGTTAGAATGTATCTGTAACTGCCTGTAGCTGTAGTTAGTGTAGTTATTGCTTCATTGTTGGTGGTGCACCTCTTGTGCTTGTTCTCTCACTTATATGTTCCTTGTTTGCTATAGTGAACCCCTCTTTTCTCCTTACCAACTCTCTCGACCTTCTAGCCTAGGCTACTAGGCCTAGGCCCTAATACATTCTCCTTCTTTCAACAGGGAGAGAGGTATAGAGGGGAATGAGAGAGGCGGTGAAACGGGTCTGAGGGAAAGGCATGGAGGGGAAGAAGGGGGGTTGGTACAACAAGATTCAGTGGGACGTGATTTAATCAGGACGATGTGGGATTGCTTAGGGATCAACAAGGAAAGGGTTTTTAGAGAAGATACTAAGTGCGTGTTATGCAAGTTAGCATGGAAAGCACATACGAGAGTTGATTGCATGGCAGTGTGCCTTCTTCATCATATTGAGCCGTCTCTCATCCAGCAGGTGGAAGGTGGTCTTATCAAGTACAGGGTGTAGAGATACCTGGAGGGTTAGATAGACGAAGAATAGTAGGTTGGGACGGGCTGGTTCAGATTAGAATCATGTATGCATGCAACATTCTTCTGCGCCTACATGCTAGTCAAGTCATCCGAGCCAATGCTCTTGTCCATCCACAACAACGATAGGTTGCACCATCACACAGTGTATACACGTCAGCAGCTTACCACGTCAGCAGCTTGCAGCACCTCCTCAGGATTGGATGCCCTGCGCCATGTCACGGGTGGCTCGCCCTGTGATTGGAGGAAGTGGGAGTAGGTTGGCAGAAGATGGGGAAAGCGTGGGGCGAGGGAGAAAGGGGAGTGTGGATAGGATGTCGCTGTGTGTGAGAGGGGTGAGTAAGAGTGAGTATGGTGTTTTGAGACCCAATGGGGTGTTGCAGTGACACTCCCCTCCCCTCCTCTCGCACGCTCACCCTGCTTTTTCTCCGCACCAGCAACACTCTTGTGCAGGCGATTGAACTAGAGCAGGTCGAAATAAAGGATGTGCATCTTGAAGCCCTCAGCCTTCCTTTCCCTCAGCTTTCACATGCCACTCCTCACTCTCCACTCGCCTCTCACTCGCCCCGCGCCTCCTACACACATCCCCCGCTCACAAGAAACACTCTCTTCTAGCCGCTTGGACTAGTACAGGTCGCAGTAGATGAGGTTCATTTTGAAGCCCTCCACCTGCCAGGGAGGTTGGGACAGGGGGGGGGGGGAGGGAGGCGAGAGGGAAGTAGGAGGGTTGTTTACCAAAGAGAAACATACAAATAGTTTTTATCATGTATATAATTTCTTGTCAATAGGGAGGGAATTTTGGGGGAACGCAGAAGGGTTTTTGCATTTTTTTGTCTAGCCCATCCACATGGGGGCCATTTAGACTGAAGCTCCATGGTGAGTGCTGCTGGATATGCAGCAACGGTGAGTTGAGGGCCACAGGAGCCAAGGTTGCTCTCCCATGCGCTGCTGCACCCTACAAGACAAAGAACAACCACATCTCACGCCCCCCCTATCGCCGAGTCATCTGCTGCTACCTTCCACCATCCACATCCCACCATGGCCCCCCATCAACCCATCCCTCCATCCATCACCCTATCCCCTCGATCCCCCATCAACCCATCCCTCCATCCATCACCCTATCCCCTCGATTTATCCCCTCGATCCCCCATCGACTCATCGCCCATTCCTCCAACCCCCCCACCCCCCCATCGCACCATCATGCGTGCATAGGCGCTGCCAATGCGCCCCGCGCTAATGATGCCCACCGTCTGCACCTTGAGCAGATTGCTGATGAACCTGCCGTTGGGGGTGTGGGGAGTGGGGGAGGGGAGAGGGGAAAGAGGGGGGAGAAGGGGGTGGAAAGGGGAGATAAGAACCAGACATTGCGCTGAATCGCCGATGATGCCCACCGTCTGCCCCTTGGCAGATTGCCTATGAACCATCACCGGGGAGAGTGGGGAAAAAGAGGGAGAGAGGGGTGGGTTGGGGTGGGGGGGGGGGGGGAAATGGGGGGAGTAGGGAGGTGGGAGAGAGGGGAGTGGGAAAAGGAGGGGGGAGAGAGGGGGGTGGAAGGGAGGGGGGACAAGGGTCAGGCAATGCGCTATTTGGCCACCTAAACAGGTTGTAGATGAACGTGAGAAAGAGGTAGGTAGGAGGAGGGACAGTGTGGAGCAATGACGCCCACACGGCATGCTGCAAGAGCACAGTACAATGCAGCGATCTTCTTTTGCCACTCACATACTGGGCAGTTAACACCCCAAGCACCCCCATCCCTACTGCCAACCCCGCCATGCTCCTCCCCCCCCATCTGAGACTCACATGGTGGGCAGCCACCCGTCGTATTTCCCTGCGCGCATGAAGTAATCCGCCTCCACCACGCGTCGCGCTGCCGCCAGCATCAGCGAAGCCGCCAGCTCCGCAGTCGTCTCAGTGAGCACGCCCTAAGGGGGAGGAGGGAGAGGGGGAGGGTGAGGAGGAGGGGGAGGGAAGGAAGGGGAGGGGTGGATACGGAGGGTGGGAATGCGCTGAGGCTAGGCTCCGTTTTCCACGCCTCGCCAGGCAAGCTCTCGTGTATGGCCACCACTCCTGCCATGCAAGGAAAAAGCATAATGTGACTCCTTTCTCACTGCCTCCCATCCAGATCCCTCTTTCTTTTGCGTCTCCCTTGCCCCTCTCATGCCCTTCCCTTGCTAGTCCCTTTCCCTCCCCTTATTGTGATGCTGCTGCGGCTCATCACCAACTGGTGCCGCCAGGAAAATTGTCAAGAGAGCACAGACGGACCACTCACGGGCGTGTTGCCGACATTTATGCTGTGCTTCGTAGCTGTGTCCATGTCGATGTTGTTGTACCCCACCGCCATGTTGTTGTGCGCCCGCCCACCCGCGCGTGCCAGCGCTGCGAACAGCCGCTCGCCCCACTCCTCCGTCAGCTGGAGGGACACACGAGTGGGCGAGGGGGTAGCGGGGAGGAGAGAAGGGGGAACAGGAGCTTGGTTTGGGGTGTTGGGCATGTTAAAGGGGGGGATGGGAGGGGGAGGACGGATGGACTAGACCAATGAAAGAAGCTGCTATAGTTGGCACCTTGTCGCTGTATGCAGGGAATCTACTCGCTATAGGCACCAGCTCTCTATATGCCCATGCTCCCTATGAGAACCTGCTCGCTGGATGCACCTGCTTGCTATAAGCACCTGCTTGCTGCACGCACCTGGTCTATGACGCCGTCGCATCTGCCGCCGATGAGCTACAGGATGTCGTTGTCACAAAACTGTTCAGTTGTGAATCTGAGGAAGGTGTAAGCTTTCTGAGTCTGGGGGTGATTCATGCACACGCTGATTGGTGGGATGTCTACCGATGCACCCGACATGGCGAAACTTGTGTCAGCATGCTTTAAGGATGACATTGGAATGTTTGAAACACTCTTCATTTCGTGAACAAAATACAGCTCCTACTGTACCAGGGTGTAACGAATTACCATTCCTTTATCACGCAACATCACGTACAACACCAATGCTTCGCCTCATGCCTGGCATAGTTCAACGTTTTCTCCTTGTACTTCCATTATCGTTGTTGGAGTACGAAGAGAATTACTTAAGCATTCCCCAAGGTGCAGCAATATCGCACCTGCTACTGTCGAAACAGTACCTGTACCACTAGCGCATTAGCCCGTATAGGACCACAGGTCACCAGTCGCAAGTCAACAGTCGCGACTATTGACCGACCTGGACCAAACGGTTGCCTGCGAGGAATTGCAACAGGCGTAACTGTCTCTACCATTATTTGGTAACCAAAGGATCGTTAATAATATAGCGATGCTTTACAATTGATAAGGAAATGTACCCCTTATAGTATGTGGCTTGCTAGAATCTATATATTGCTTGTAAATGTTTTATTTTAAACAATCTTGTCATTTACATTCACTATGCAACAAGGTTCCTACAACAGGAAGACTTCCGCTATACACTCAGGCAAATCTATCATTTCCAAAGGATCCTTATTCTAACATGGTACGAGAGCAAGTTTGGAATATATGGCTTGCTAAGAACACGATCTGTAAAACGATCCACTGGTATAAACATCTTACATCATGCCTGGCGCAGACTGCGGCGAAACTGGAGAGAATCCAGTCAATCCTTCCACTAACGTCGCCTCTGGGATGACATCTATGGACCCAACACTCATTGAGCAACTCATCACCCGCATCAGCGCACTGGAGAACCATCATCTGCCCATGAGCGTTGATGGCTCCAGCTATGCCAGAAGACCTCCCGATCCATAAGACCTATCGTACTCTGAGCGATCGTTCACCTTCGAAAATCAAGGAGCCGAAGTACATTCGCAAGCACAACAAGCACACTATGAGGCAATGGCCTCAATCCAGAGCAAGTTCCTCTCGACATGACGCTCTTCGACGGGAAGGATTTCTACACCTGGAGCTTCAAGTTCGAGCCCCTGGCTCCAAAGTGCACAGACCTGGATGTATTACGACGGATCTCTGCCAATTCCAAACGAAGGCTCACCTCGGGAGAAAATACGGTACTGCAATGAGTCACTGCTCGTCAACACCGTTCTAATCCGCAGCCTGTCGCCCTCGAAACAGCTCGGCATCCCTTCGTTCATGAACTAGTGGACGCCCGTGCAACAATCATGGGAGCACCTGCGCATATGCTACATGGCAACCGACTCAGTAACGCTCAGCCGTTTATTGAACCAGCTTAACAATGTCAGGATGTTCCTTCGAGAGAAAGCAGGGCATACAACAAATGCTGTAGAAACTTCAGGGGTCAATTCAAGAAAAGTGGCGGAAACTTCTCTGACAATATGTTCGTCACCATCATTCTCGCTGGATTGAGCCCAGATTAGCGCCACTACAAGTCGCTCCTTTGCACCCAAGGCACGATCAACGAATCTTCCTGCGCCTCGCTCCTCGCCAAACAGCACGAGATCGATCTGTATAATGAGAGAGGCAGCAAGAAGAAGAAGATTGCCCTTTACTTAACTAGCACGGAAGCACCCTCGGCCAAAAGGAAGCTGTGATGCAAATACTGCAAGAAGGTAGGACACACTATCAAGGAATTGCGGGGAGTCGCTCGGCAAAGGTAGTGAGATAGACTATAGGGGTTGGCACGAGCTACTAGGATTGAGCGTAGCTTTGCCTAATTCCTTAGTGCTTGCACAATCACGGGAGAAATCGGCAAGAGTTTCCGCTAGCAAAGTCGAAATTACAGAATGATTGAGCTCACAATGACAAGAATGACTACATTAGGCACCTAGCAACCCTGCAGCTAGCCTGGTCGACCGACAGCACAACATGGTCGACCGCCAGCCAGCGTTGCGTAGAGGAGCCATGCCAGCACTGCAGAAAGGCGACCTGCCAACAGAGCAGGTCGACGGCGTGCCAACGCTGCAGCAGAGCGGCTTTCCAGCGTTGCCCCATAGAACACAGCAGTGCGCACGCTCGCAGGTGTGCGCAGACGATTGGCCCGACTTGCCTCGTTGGGCATCCGTTGGCTGTTGTTTGCGTCTGACGAGCCACATCAACTACGGGATACCAGCCCACAGTCGTCTTCGCCATCGCGACCTCGGCGAAGTTTGCGTGCCTACGCAGAACTCGTCGAGCAGGTTACCTGACCGACCTGGTCGACCACCAGGTGCTTCCGGTCGACCACCACTACCTCTGGTCGACCGTCGGGACCCTTTGGTCGACCACCAGGTGCCCCTAGTTGACCACAGCTCCCGTCGATCCCCTCGTCGACCGCTGCTCACTTGTCAGGTCGACGGACTGCTCCGTCGACCTCCCGGTCGATTTGCAGGTCGACGGGCTGCTCCCGGTCGAGCTGCAGGTCGATGGACTGCTCCCGGTCGAACTACAGGTCAACGGGCTGCTCTCGGTTGAGCTGCATGTCGACGGGCTACTCCCGGTTGAGCTGCAGGTCAACGGGCTGCTCCGTCAACCTCCCGGTCAAACCGCCCTTCCTGGTCGACGGCCCACCGGTCGTCTAGACCAGTCAGTTGCAGCTGTCGAGCTCCCTGGTCGACAGCAAAACCATTGCGGTCCTCTGCAGCTCGACGAAGCCTATCGAGCAGCTCTCCCACTGTAAATGGTCGGCTACCACTTCCGTACATCCGACCATGTCGTCGGCGTTGCCCAAGCGAGGGCGGGGCCAACATTCTATTTCCGTTAAGAGGAATGCTAAAAGTGCAATGGCAACAACAACAGAAACAACAACGGGAACAATGCACAAAGGCAACAGGGAGGAGTGCCTTACAAGCAAGCCGCCGGATCACCAGCTCACAACCAGACTGTGTCCTTGCTCGCCGTCGCCAGCACTTCACAAGCTCCGACGCGCATTTCTGCAGACAAAAAAGGGAAGAGCAAGGTGTTGACCTACATGGTGCGACACGGATCTCCTCGACCCAATCGTCTCTGCCGCTTCTTCCGCAGCTGGGAGGACATGTTCCAAGATCCACCACCAGCAGGACCTGAAAACGACCTGACCTTCGACGAACTAACTGTTGGACAAATCTAGTACGACTGGGAAGCACCACCGTGGATAGCGGAGTCGCCACCTGCACGAATCGCATTGAACAACAAGGGGTAGAGTTACGACTAGTACACGACATGGAGCATCATGTCACTCCGCGAATCGCAAACATCGCAAAGCAAAACGACGACATTAACAAATGGTACCTGGACAGCTGATGCAGTCAGCAAATGGTCTTGTCCAGCATGTTCATGCTTAACAGTGAGGAGCTGTTAAGTGAATTCGAGATTATTGTCGCCAACAACCAATCGATCTGGGCGAAGATTTGCGTTCAGATCCAGCTCGAGTCAAAGGACACCAACTTCTGCATCCACCAGGCATTGGCGATTGGCGGCTGACACATAGGAGTTGGAACATTGAAGGATATTGAGTAACAATGGACCTAGAGCTCGCCGCCATGGATTTCTTCAGGGTCTTCAACCCAGCATTTCGTGAAGCAGAGTTACCAGTTGGCTTTAAGAACCTCAGCTTTGAACTCGCCTTATCACGACGAATCGATTGGTACACTTATAATGTTCATCAGGCGAACATCGTACCAAGAGCTTCTCGGGATCTGCTGCTCAGCTTCTTACAACCATACAATTTCAAGGCTTCATTATCGGATATCCCGACATCAGTCCATTGCGTTTTACAAGAGCTCTCACTGAATTCGTGATTGGCTATTCTTATTTCATGGCGTTCTCAAGGCTACTGACGATCACCCTCAGGTTTTATTAGTGACAACTCAGCACCTACACCAAAAATATTGGTCTGATGGAGGGACATTGCGGCTATACTATACTGGGCTCAGACATCCAGCATCTCAGGCATTTTTGGCCCTTGCAAATCAACTGCTGCTGGTCTTTATTCATCATTGCCCTATGGCGCATCCTCCTCCCAAGGAACGTGTTCCTCTGCTGCCGAAACGTGCTGTTGTCACTGATGCTATTCGGTACCTGAAGATAAGGGGAAACAAGTGGAGGAAAATGAGCCGGTTACTCCAGTAGAAGGGAGCTCAGGCTTATCTCTGGAGGAAAAGCTTGCTGCACTTACCACCGCGCATGATAATGACAATGAAGACGAGTTCACGGATGACGACTCGGACACTGAGTTGGAGTTCGAAATATCCAAGGACTCCGATGTGAAGCTTCGTTATATGGCTATCTTGCTCGTGCCTCTTGTTCTGGAGCCAGAAATGGCATCGGTCATCATCACCGTGCAGATGCTGCTGCAACGCGTTTGGTCTTCTTTGCTCTCTGATGGCACTAATACATCGGTTGACTTTCAGGACATTCACCCTGCATATGTCGCAAAGACCAAGTACAGTTGCCTTCAGCTATCATTTCAGAAAGAAGAAGATGCTACTAAAGTGCGGCAAGCGGCTCTGGAATATCAGAAGCCGAACGTAACGTCGTATAAATTACATTGGCTTCACACTGAGAATGCGGCTTTTGTGAAAGAGAAGGCTACTAACCCGCACGTCATTGAAG